ACTGAACTGTAGGTAAAAGTTCGGTAATACCATTGAACACCGTTCCATGTTATGGTGGATCCCCACGGCATATTAAGTTAACAGTCGGTCAAACACAACCAAAATAGGTGCAACGTTTCGGTGGCATCCCACCGAATTTACCTATTGCGTTCGGTATTGTTGTGCTGAACGCAACCAGCTACCATCATGAAATCCAAAACTTGAAAAACGCCAAAAAATAAACTCATACATCATTCGAAGCCTCTCTAACTTCAATATCACCCTTCACCTTTCATGAATAAATACAAGATATTTTTTCACCAATATAAAAGTATAAACCTCGTTAGGGTTGTAGGAACATGATGGTTTGAGAAAAAAAGTCTAACAAGGGTTGCAGGAACATATGTGGGGTGTAGTGAGCAATTTTAATTTTAATTTAAAATGTTTTTTGTCCTTAACGGTAATTATGTACAAGGGTAAAATAGATTATTCATGTTTAAAATTAGTATTTTTGGGGGATTGGGGGGTGCAAAGAACAAATATTAGGGTGCCAATAAAATCTCCCTTTGGGTAAACCAACCAATAAATATATTATATATGTGTTTGGGCCTAAATTATATATGTGTTTGGCCCATTTATTTAGCTCCCACAACCACAAACTCAGCTGTTACCATAGGGTAAATTTTTTTATTACTATTATTAGTAATTAAAATTAGACAAAGCCCAACTGGTCCAGACACCGAGCCTCCAATTTGTTTCGAAAGACCCAAGGAATCCATCACCACCGCTCATCTCCAGACCAACAGGCAAGAAAAGAGATTTTTGCCAAAACCCACGTGAACCCATCCATAAAGCTAAAAAGGGGTAGAGGATTTCCAGGAAAACTAATAGGGATGGGCGGAAAGTGAAGCTGTTGTGTAGATACAGCTGCACCAAAATGGATTCAGTTGCATCCTCAACTTGTGATACTCGCAAGTGCACGAGCCGTTTGGTAGTATAACATATGTAAGTGTGAGGTCGATCCCACGAGGATTGGTGATTGAATGATCCAATTCATTTCTCCTACACAAAACAGAAATAAAAAAAAAGAAAATAAAAAAAACAAAAAAAAGGAAATACCTCAAGCAAATAAGTTCCCAAGTTCAATTAGATTAATGGATTGATTCTAGCTAAAGTATGATTAAGCCATGGTGTGTGGTCATAACCTTGTGTTCCTAATTCCCTAATTTGATCATTTGTTGTCTAACCTAAAATTAAGCATTAGGAACCCATTAAGCATAGAAGAACAATTTAAACAACCAAGCATGTATCTAATCCCTGTTGTCGAATGTCCATACATACTCTTCCTATTCATAGTTCAATTCGAATTAAAGCATGGTGTATACTCTTAATTCAAACCAAGATAGCTAACATGCAAGCCTAAATGGTGATGCTCCCCCCCTTGGGGTGTGTTTACAAGCTTAGAGAACTTCCCTATTTATAGGCCTAGGGGAAGTGAAAATCTGAATTATACAATAGAGTTCACTAACCACACTCACTTCACCAACTTACAACACTTAATTCACCTAACACACTAATGCATTTTGAAAACAATTCTTCTTGTCATTAAGCTTAGTGTTGCATCATCCACTTCAACTTCAATTAATTCATTTGGCTGCTGTAAAATTCCACTCAAAAATAGGTATTGAATATGCTTCACCAAACTTTCCCACAATCAACAACACTTCATCATGCATATGTCATGCATGACAATGCATTGGAGCCAGCTTGTGGGCTCGTTTTGGGCTTGTGGCTTCATTTTGAAAAATCTGGAAAAATATGGATCTTGAAGCTCTCTGTCTTATCTTTCCAAGCACATGCAGCCCAGCTCAAGGAAAAATCGGAAAGCCCTTCAAATGTGATTTTTGGCCCAGTAACGCAGATGCTGCCGAATTTGACCTTAAGTTGCCAAAACATGTATAACTTTCTCTAGAAGACTCGGAATCATGAACCGTAAAATTATACAGAAACTAGACTTCCGTATCTTTCCAATGATGTATGGTTCATCATCTGGTTCTTCTTAAGCAAGTACAGTCCAATCCGTGAAGTTGACTGATCTGCAGACACCGTTTTGAGCTAACTTGTCTCCAAAATGCAATTAGTGAGTCTCAAGCTTATAACACTGAAACAAACACAAAACTTATTAAAAGCACAAGTTTAACTCAAAAACGTAACCAAATCATAAATTAGAAGGGTACAAAATGATATGTAAATATGCACCGATCAGAAGCCAAGGGGATTATCATCATGACAATTCGAACTGACAAAAAATGCCATCAAGGTCCGACAATTCGAGTTGTGCGTGCAATAGTTAAAGGAATTTTGCAGAAATACCCAGATATTAAGGGGTAAAGCACCGTGGACTTTGCCTATAAATACAGAGAGATAAGAGCTCGCAAAGAGCACACAATCAACATCTCAACAACAAAAATCAAACACTCAAGAGAAAAACTCTCAATCAAAACTGTCAGAAAATCAAAGATCACTTGATCTCAATAGCCTCCAAATTCAATAGCAATCAAGCTACCTAGCTTGCAAAAGTCATTCAACCTTCAGCAAAACAAGTGAAACTCAGGTTTCTATTTCCAATCTAGCCCAGGAAAATAGCTCACCAGCTAAGGAGAACGAGATTTCTCTTGTTACAGATTCAATCTAGCTCAGAAAAGGCAAACAAAATTCAGCTTTCTGCTGTTACAAATTTGGTTTAGCTCAGGCCAAATTAAACAGAATTCGGGTTTTTCACAATATGAAAACCGCAACAAATTCTCAGGTATATCTTTGAGTGCTCAGAACAGCTAGAACAGCTTTCAGCCCTCGTTTTGATCCTTAATCAAGGGGAACATGTACTGTGGTATAGCTCAAAGGCAGCAATCATCAATCCAACCACTACCAGTCCAATCCAGACTAAAGAAATCTCAATTCTGCCCATCCAACAAGTCTTTCTACGGCCAGAACTAGGGGTGGGCATCTAAAACCGAAATACCGAAACCGTACCCTAACCGAACCGTACCATACCGATTTCATACCGTTTCA